AAAACAAGGGCCAATTGAAGGCAAGACTAATACCAGGGCAGCTGAGAAGCCAGTTGAGCGTCCAAAGCTGAACTTGAAGCCCCGCTCCCAACCTCTTGAACAATCTGAAGGGAATGCAGTGAGAGAACGGTATATTTTTTGCCCCAATTTAGCTCAATATGGATGTGATTCTACGAAGTTTAGTTCATGGTAGTTTTTGAGGAACACATGATAATTCTTTCTTTAAAAAATTACACACATGATAGTTGCTCAGTGCCAGTAATTGATTGACTGGTTTCTATTTATCACGTGGAAGGCTTATTTGTCACCAACTCTATTGTTGGGAAGTTAAGTTTAGGGAATTCAATTATCTTCTTGAGGCAACTGATCTAAATTTTATTTGTTTAATAAGCGTCACTCAGTTTTGTGAAGTTGACTTTAGAGGATTCAGTTATCTTCTTGTTGTAACTAAATCAAAATTCTTTGGCCTGCCATAATATTGACTTCTGTTCAGTTTGCTATATTGTAATGCTGCTGTGCATTCCAAAACTTTGAACACATACATGTTCAGAGCATGCATTTTGCAGTTCTCTTCCACCATTTTTTGTGCTTAGTTGTCCTTGCCATTTTCACTATTCCGGAACCTCTGCCTAGTCAGGCTATTTATTGACTGGGAAAACATTGTGCACTGTATGATGCTTTCCCATCTCCTTTGCCTTCTGTGTTACTTTAGAAAGGTCTTGCTGTTTCGCATTACGAAAATGATGGCTAGCTCAAAAAGGGCCAAATACTTGTTTGGCTTAATGTATGTTTTGAGTGCTTAGGTTAATAACATTCTAATGGGAGCACTTCATCTTCGAACCATGCTTAACCATTGATTAGTGGCCAGGAGATAAAAATAGACTATGGATGTATGAAATAGAATTTGACGGAACAATCTCCTACCCTGTGGTTAGACTAACTCAAGAGGTGTTCGTTGGTTTGGATACCATGAATCGGTGAAAAGAAGATGGCTAGTGGAAAGCTGACCGCCATGGTTGATTGTTCATTATTGTGCCAATGATGGTGTCACGAAATCTTCTTTGTCATGTTCCTGTTGACATTAAAAAATGACGATTTACTCTATAATTCGAGTTAAAATAAGATGGATAGTGGAAATCTGTCCGCCATGGTGATTTTTAGTCTATAATTCGATTCTGAAGAACTGAAGTAAATCTTGCTTCCGTTTAATTGTCTGTTACTCTGTTGACTTTTCTTCTTGACTCGAGTTCCTAATTCGCTGATATTCTTTTGCAAATTGCTTCTAGTGCTAGTTTTAGTATAATATAACTTCTGGTGTAATTTAATATCCTTGTTTTGATCCAGGAATTCGTTGTTTGGTGGTGCCCGGCCTCGTGAGCTGGTATGTGGTCACTTTGATAATTTGCATGTTAATTTCTTCTTCTTTGATGCTGGGAACTATTAGATGTTCAGCTTGCGCCTTCCCACTCTTTCAACCATTATTGAATTGGAATGTAATCCAGCATTATCCCCCCTTTTTATTCATGTTATCCTGCTTCAGGTTCTCAAAGAAAGGGGCGTAGATGACATTGAAATCAACAAGATTGACCACCTCAGTCCTTCGCCTACGAGGTACTCGATGAACTACTTAATCTTTCGAACATGCCAATTATTATTCCTCAATCTATCTATTTCTTGGCTGTTGTGCATATATGTGATAATAATGATCTTGAGGTTTCGTTCATGAAGGGTTAACACCTTGAAGATTGAAGTGAAGTCGGAGCACTTAGTTCCTACTCCTCGACAGGGTCCCCCCACGAAGAGTGAGGTTCGTACTCCAACCAGCAGGGGTAGGACTGGAGGAAGGGAGTTTGAAAGGAAGGATCATCAGAAGGACCACAACGAGAAACCCGAACAAGAAAGGAAAAGCTGGCGGAACGACAACTGGAAAAGCAGCAACAAAGAGGTGGTTGTGAATCATAATAATAAAGAACAGCAGCGCCCTGAAACTGAAACATGGCGCAAGCCAATCGAAGAACGAAATTCCAACACCTCACCAGAAGGCGTCGGTCATGGCAAGTTGGTCTCGGCTTTAGAGCTCGCACAAGCTTTTTCAAAGTCGGTCTCAGTCTCGAAGAAAAGCAGCGAACTGCGTTCACCACATCGAGGAGGGCCGGTCAGGCAGCACAACGACAAGAATGGTAGTCAGGTACTGTTTTCCAGATTGACAGAGACTCGTAGTGAACTCTACCCTGCACCATCCACGGCTAGGCACCGGGTGAATGGTTATTAGATAAGAGCACTCGAGATCATATTATTGGGAGTTTGTTGTGGAAGCCGGGGGATTGGGGGTTTTACTTGTAGTTTGTTTTTTTTTTCCTTTCGTCATGATTCGTTGCTATTCTGTCATATTCTTATGTGGCTCAAGAGCAGCAAAAGGCATCAATCCAGAAGTTCAGAGAGGCTGTGATGTAATAGTGGGTTCTCTCTCAACTCCATTTGATTGTTGAAGAGCGATTTCAGTCTCTCTCAGTAGTATAAATTATCAGTCTGATTGAACTGTTGCATGCCCATTGTAGATACATAGTTCACTTCCTCTATTCTTATAGTTGCTACCTGTTCACGTATTTGGAGTTTGGAGCATCCTGATTGGTGTATGACGTAGGAGCTGCGGTTTTATTTAGAAAGTCTAATTAAAAGCCTATAAATAGGTCTCTAGAGATAGAGAACAGAGGAGACGAGAGGTCAAAGAAAGATCGTTACTATCGATAGAACAACCCTTATAACTTAGAACGAGACCAACCTACGAGGGAAATGACACCCATGATTTGTTTTCTCTGTCATCAACACCATTTCTTGTGGGTGTTCTAGTGTCTTTGTTTCAATTGATGAAAACCAAGGAAACCCTCCCCATGGCTGGCTAAGTTTCTTAGTGACTTAGGTATGCGAACCCTAAGAGTTCTAAATTTGTAAATTCGATGTTTGGTTTAATACGATTGTGTTTATTTCATGTGTGATATTTGATTTTCTCTATTTTTTTATTTGTTGATTCGAATGAGATCCTAAGCCGACCTTGCACTCATTCGAGGTGCAAAGATCAAAATCAAGTTGTTTAGTATGAGACTAGAAATAGTAGTCCTGCTCGATCGAAGTCATTTGATTGAACAACGTGACGTCTCAAGAGAGAAATCTGGATGGTCATTGTCGCTTATTAGTTCGGGTAAATGCTTCGACACAAGGTAGGATCTAACAAAGTAAGAAATCGACTGCTCGTATGCCATCGATCATCGAGGGATGCATGGATAGGAGACCTAGGGGTAGCTTGCCTATGCACGCCTTCCTTCTCTGATCTCGCACTCGTCAATTGGACTTAGATTTACTTTTATGCACTGTGTAACTTTTCGAACTCTTACGTTCTGCAATATCGGAGGCCCCTCAACCTCCTAACCCGATCTCTTTTTCAATAGAACCGTACCTCGCTTCTGACATAAGGGTTATGTGAGAGACACTAAGAAAATACGATCCTGACCTTAGGGCCAGATAAATTAGGTCCGCACAATAACGTCAATCAAAATTTGGCTCCGTTGTTGGGTACACTCGCAAACTTTGGAAAATGAGCAAAGTTAGGTTCTATTTTTGTTTTTTTCGTAATCTATATTTTCTGCTTTTGTATGCGTGTTTCTGCCTGTGTATGAATATTAAGATCAGACACAGAGATCCCAAAAATGTCGGTCAGAGCGACTGAATTCTTTCGAAATTCAGTCGCAAGTGGCGATGATTCTGGAGGAAGTCTACAAAACTTCAATTCTCCAAACATGGATGATTGGGGTGCCCTATGTATGGACCACAATCCATCATTTTAAACTGCGGTTTAAACAAATTGAATTAGAGTCGCTCCATGAGGCATGGTATCGTTAGAGGCCCATCCGTGTTGTATGAAACCAACTAGATACCTAGAACATTGGAGGTAGACTCCTCCAGTGGGTTTTACCTAGGGCTGTCAATTTGGTTTGGTTTGGTTAACCAAACCATCAAGTATGAAAAACCAAAAACCAAAAACCAAATCCCAAAAACCAAAACCAAAACCATTAAGGCCCTTATTGGTTTTCGGTTGCCAAAAACCAATAAGGACTTTAATGGTTTTGGTTTTGGTTTGGATAACCAAAAAACCAACATGTACTCATACACTCATATTTATTCTCATTTCCCTCCTTTTTATTGAATAAACGTCATAATAATGATAAATGACCATTACAAATTATTGGTTGGCATGCGTGTCAAAAAAAAAAAAAAACAACAAAAAAAATATTTGTTGATAAATAATTTTGTTCTTATTGGTTTCTTAATGGTTTCTATTGGTTTTTCATTTTTAACCAAACCAAAACCATTAAGTTGCTTATTGGTTTAAAACCAAAAAACTGAAACCATTAGCTTTCCAATTGGTTTGGTTTTGGTTAAAACCAAAAAACCAAAACCAAATGGACAGCCCTAGTTTTACCCCTGTGCAAATGAAGCTGCAACTCAATGATCATACAATTATAACCTCACACTATTAATGAATGTTGTAATCTTTACCTAATTAGATGGTCATTTTCGTAAGCTTTGAGAACAGAAAATTAGCCAAAGCAAAAGCATATGGAAATCATGGAAAAATATCAATAGATTAATAGGATAGGTTCACAATAAAAGTTTACATACGATCGATCCCAAATAAAATCTACAAGTTAAAGCTTATCTCCTAAGCAGAGCTAGAACACAGACACAGACACTGAGAAAGAATGGGGTTGAAGTGGGTTGGGTATATTATTATGTGGCTGGTTTTAATGACGTGGCGGGTTAGTTACATAAGCAAAAAAAAAGGACTGGCGTTAACAGAGTTTGATGGAAGGTAACGGAGAGTGAATAAATTTGGACAGTTTGATTAATTCTAATGATTAAAAGTATAATTAAATATTTGTAAAATATAAACGTTTTTAGTAGTAATCTCAGTGACCAACCCTTGCAATTTATCCCGTTTTTAACTAACTTTTGAAACCAGCAGCCAGAAACGGGTAGACCTCGTATCGGATCCTACAGCTCCCGCCGACAACCTGACCCCCGACTTTCCCGCCGCAGCACCTCGGGAGCTGCCCGATGGCTTCTCCCACACACTTCTTGCACTCCCCGCTCCCCAAATCCCTACTGCACTCCACCAGTCCGTACAACTTCTTCTCCTCCTCCTCGCTGGCGCCGGCGGCGAGCTCCATCACCCCTTCCGCGAACATCCTCGGAGCCACGTAAGCAGCCTCCCTTGCCAGCCGTCCCATGAGCTCCCTCAGCTTGCCATCAAACGACGCCGCGTCGCTCGCGTTGGCCGTGTTGATCAGATAGAACCTGACCCGGTCGTCGACCCGCCCGAAGAAATCGGAGTCCGAGTACCTCACCGTGCACCCGTCGTACCAGATGGCCGCCGACTTGTCGCTAGGGCAGCGGCGGAGGATCTCGGCCGTCGCGTTGCCGACGCAGGATCGGCAGTCGGCGGCCGAGGCGTCGCCGCGGCAGAGGGCGACGCCGTAGGGGCGGTCCCGGAGGGAGCTGCCCAGGGACCCGAGAGCGAATCCGTCGTTCCGTGGAGTTTGGTCGCGGAGGTAGCCGAGGAGGCTACTCAATGCGACGTCGTATCGTCCGCTGGCGGTGGAGTTCTTCGCGGCGTTTGAGCACGTGTGGAATAGCGGGGCGGCCGCGGCGGCGCGGATGGTGAGAGGGCCTTGAAAGAGGAGGAGAGCGGCGGCGACGGCTAAGAAGCAGCGGAAAGACATAGTTTCGTTTCGGGTTCGAGATTGAGACTAATTGTTTAATGCTGTAATGGTATGTGAGAGGATGAAATGTGTATTTATAGCTTGGTTTGGTCAAGAGGAGTTGTTGGGATTTTTTCATGGCTGAATGTCCTGGCCGGCAAATTTTTAATTGGGGCATTGTTATTAATTTATTAATCACATCTTCAATATAAACAAACTTACTTACCGAGGTAGAAGAAGTTTGATTCGATCCGGCCTCGAGGTTGTGCACTTGATGACGATGTTTCATTTTTAATCGATGAGTGGATTGGGTCCTCCTGCTGAAGGAGTCTGTGTCTAATTGTGTGTGGTGGATGACTTGGTCTTTTCTTCTGTGGATGCATGTAAACAAGTATCTTCCATTGTTCTTAAAGATTTGGTCATGTGATTAAATTTTTAATTAAACGACGTGTGAAGTGATCAAGTGACACACATGGTTGCTTGCCGTTAGAGTCTATCAAGTGATCAAGTTAGACAGATGGTGGTATCATTTTAGACTATTTCAAGGATGTGAGAGTTATTTAGCAAGATTGCTAAAAAAATTCATTTAGAAATGTCACACAAGCATTTGGGACAAACTTCATTCATGCATGCATGCAACCAATCACTTCTTTTTTAATTTCCTTTTATTTTCTTCTTTTTCCTTTCCATGCACAATTGTGTACATGTTGCTATACATTAATAAGTCTTATATTTAATGGTTTTTTTAAGTTGTTAATAAATTTGAAAAATTATAAATTAAATTTTAATTGTAGTAATTGGGATGACATGGAAAACTATAGTTAAAGATTGAAGATCCATTCACAAAACTAGAAAGAAGTCACACTAAAAGTACACACGATTCATATTACATCAAGAAAGCAAACAAATTTAAAAAATATACACACGCACAACAATTATCCAAGAACTTAATGAAAATCTTACATAGGAATATTAGAATATAATTCAAATTGTTACAAGTATGACTTCAAGAGTTTTGTGCAAAAGTTTTATGTGGGCAAGAATGCCAGAGGAAGCGCAGTATTCTGTAAGCGAGAATGCGAGAGGAAGCAAGCCTCAATGCGGAGCAAGAGCCGATTCTCAACGGATACTACTACACCTGGATTCTTTCTCAAAATCATCTGGCCGTGCTGGAAGAGAACATGGATCAACCAAGGGAAGGTCCAAGTTGACTTTCAATTGATCGCTCATCAAACAACATTGGCAACAACTCCACGACGTTGGTGAGCAAGTACGAGAACCAGAAGATGAGGCTATTAGATGGTGAAGAAGCCGTCGAGGAGTATCATCTTGGCGCGGTCACGATCAGGGATTGGCGAAGAAATAAGCTAACAAACATGTCGAGGCAAGCGCCATGATGTGGACCTCAGAGGAGATGTGGGCAACACGAAATTTAGGACCTTCAATGTCTTGGCAACACGACGGTGGAGGCTTGATGATCAAATAAAGATTTCGGCGCAACTGCTTCCTTTATTGATGGCAACGTAGGAATCTTCAATATCTTGGCTTTGGTTCACGAAAGAGGGAAAAGAGATGATGCGGGGAAAACTGGGAGAAAATGGAGGGATTCATAATTTTTACCATGTTCATAAGTTTTGCTACAATATAGGAGAGTGATTATTCTGGAGGAAAAGCTACTCTAGCAGTTGCTACTCCAATTTACATACCGTTTGGTATAAATGAATTTCATAAGTTTTGCGGAATTCATTTTGAAATGAAACATTTTTGTGTTTGGTATTTAAAAGAATTCATTTTCAATTCTAAATTTTTAATTCTATGAAATTGGTACTAGTTATAGCAATTCCGAGGAATTGAGATGGAATTTCCAAATGAATTCCACAACTATTTACTAATTATAATAGAATAACATAATAGTTATTCTCTTTATTCACTAAATTACTTATATATATGACATACAAAACACATGAATTCATTTGACAATGAATTTTACACGAAAATTCATTATATTTTTAAAGATATGAATATGACATACCAACCACAAAATTTAATTTGACAATGAATTCTATACGATAATTTATTTTACAATGAAATGAATTCTTGATTCATTTGTTACCAAACAGTATTTTAGGGTGAAAGCAATTGTTGTCTCGTATTTTGAGTTTTTTCCCTTCAAAATTGAAAACATATTTTTTCCTTATTATTTATTAATACTACAGTACCGCTATTAAAAGTGCGACACTAGTGCCGCCTTATTTAATTGGTCCACGTTGTCTTCTGAAAATGACGTGGCACTAGTTATATTAAGGAAACCGACCCAACCCGCCATAATGAATTGACTCCAAGTCTACGCACTCCGCCTAACTGACCAAACATTTGTATTATGTTACGTTTTTAGTAAAATATTTTTCTGGCAAACCGCAAATCCTCCAATTTTACAATTACAAGGTGAAAAGCAGAGAGAATTTGGTCGCTGACTCACTCCTACTGTCACTCTAGAAAATGGCCAAGTGAAACCACTTCCTAAAGCGTAGTATAGCGGGTTTAGGTTTTAATGTCAACCCGGGTCCTAGATATGATGACTACTCGGTGAATTCTCGTTATCTAGCAGTGAACTTTTAGTGCAGATTCAAACAAAGAAAAACGCCAAGCAAGTTAAACGGTTGTTCAAGTCAAGAGAGGTCACTCGGATATGGTTCCCCCTAGACTGCAGTTAAGCCGGATTGCAATTTACCAAGTTCAGTTTTCATGAAAGTTATACTGTGGAAGGTTCTTAAACAGTCTGAAGTCTCGACTAAAGGTCTCCAGAACCTCTCAATCTGAGTCTCTAGCGGGCGACTAACCTCCACCGGAGTAAACAGATTGAGGCCCTAACGAACCAAACCTCCACTACCGAATTGAATTCGGTACAGAATAGCGAATTGGCTCCTCGACTAAAGTCACCAATTCACTACCTTCAATTAAGGATACTCTATCAACCTAGGCAGATATTCTCATTCTAGGTCAAAGCAGAAACGACAGGAGTTTGATCAGGATCAAGTCATTCAATCATTCAAACCTCAATCGAATATAATCAATTCATAAACTCTGTACTTGGGTTCATACAATCAGACCTAGCATACAAATCTAGGGTTCCCCATACCCAGATGAATGGGGAAACTACTCCGTAGAGAAAGAAGCAAAAGCGGATTCAGACGCGGAAATCATATTGTGAAGATGGATTTATGCTCCTGGACGTTTAATCGGCACTTCTCCAAGCTCAAGCCGGGCTCCAATGGTGATGAAGATCAAGCTATGGCACTTGGGAACTCTGGTTCGTCGCTTTCTCTCTCTAGGAATCGCTCTCTCTCTCTCTCTCTCTAAAACTCGTCAACCTTGAATGTTGGCCTTCCTTTCCCTTAAATCTGCTGCCTGGTCGCGATACCCGGTCGAAATACCCGGTCGGGTATTTTGGGTATCGACCGGGTATTATCCAAAATGCGCCGCTTTGCCTCAAGAGAGATCCCCGGTCATGGCCAATAATCCCCGACCGGGGATTTGCGCCTCCTGCCCGGGCCCCTCTCTGATTCTCGGGCGCCCCAAATTAATAAATACCCGGTCGGGTATTTGGCCACCTGACCGGGTATTTTCCTCCTGCAGCTTACTTCGTCCCAACTTCGCTCCTTTCGACCCAGAACTCGTTTCTCCGCCTCGATTCCAACGCCGGGTCCTGAAATATGACATAAACACACAACCTAGCGTGAAATCGGCTTAAAACACTAGAATCCACATCTCAAACGGCTTCAGAATGGGGTGAAAAACATGTGTAATTATCGGTCTATCAAACTCCCCCACACTTAACCGTTTGCTTGTCCCCAAGCAAACCTAACTCAAACCAATGTACTCTCCAGACCTCTATAGCAACAAACAACCTCGATCGTAGGTAGAGGACTTCCTAGATCATTTAGCAGCTTACGAGGCCAACCGACGCACAAGTCCTCTCATAGCTTCTTCGGCGAGAACGCTAGTCTCGAGTCGGCATCATGGTAAATAGTGAGCAGAGGACAAATGAATCGTGGATGAAGAGACTCTCAAAAACAAAAGATCATGGACTCACATTTTTTTCAAGGTGCTCGATTTTCTTCTTGAAGATGGTTGGAACCCCTTTTCTTTCTTCTTTTTACTTGTTTTTCTGTTTTTCTTTTTTTTTCTTTCTTTTTTCAAGGGTTCCAACCTGTTTTTCAGACAACGGGGCTCCCACCTAGCAAAGGTTTTGCGGGAGCCCAGCTCTTACCGGCCATGCCAGGAGCGGGTATCTCGAGCCTCGTGCGGGGGAAAGACATGTAAGGGGGCTGGAGGTAGTAGGTGGAAATTGGGAACAGATTCCCGTCTCCCCTTACACACTTTCGCCCTATTCGCACGGGAGACGTCATTTTAAAGCACATTTTCGAGCACCAGTTATTTTCAAAACATGATACAAGAGTCTATGACAGGCAGAGAGTCCACAACACCTCACAATTCAAGGGTCCTAAGATCACTAATTCACTCAATCAACCAACACAATATGAAGAAGAAATGAGATTTCTTAAATGCATCAACATCCTCCATAGTGCTACACTACCTCCCTAGGTTGCACATCACTACAGAGACTGTCAATTCAAAGCATACTGAGCAGGCAATTGCAAGGAACACGTACTTGGAGCCCTCAAATTTTAAAAATTTGGACAGTGGACTAGGCTCCAAGCACACAAACAGATCTAATGCAGTCAAAAGATAAACATCCCCCCCACACTTAAGATCGACATTGCCCTCAATGGAGAAGAGGGAAGGAAAGGGGAACGATGTTACCGGTGTGCACAGACTGCAGAAGACTGGAAATGGACCAGTCGGCATGAAACGGACTGGAGAGAGGACCAGTCGGGAACACATGCACAGCTAAAGGAAACCAAAGAGCTCAAACACATATGTTAGGTCCAATGGTCAGCCCAACAGTACAACATCCAAAAAGAAAAAAACAAAACCGACATAAAACAAACAGTTTGCAT